AGCCAGCTGCGTGCGGCAAATCTCGTACCCCCCCTTTTCGGGGATGGACAGAGCCCCCTTTAGTAGAACGTGGTTGAGTGAAAACGACCTGAGGCCCAAACCTGGCGGGCGCAGGCCTGGAAAATAACGGCCACGGCGCCCTCTCGAGAACCGAAAACGGACAATTCTCTAATCGACGTGTCACTGTTGGGGGCTCTGTCCACCCCCGACCTTTCCCTATCCTCCCCTGTCGTCCGGCCCGACGGTCGTCCGTCCATGGGCGATCGTGAGGGTCGATGCATCCCGCCCGAGCCCGTTCCCCCCCCAGTCGTGGCCTCTGACTCGGCGGCGGACAAAACCCCCTTCAGTAAACCTCCCCTTAGTGAAAACGGCCGGGGACCGCACCCGACGGACCTGGACCCGCAAAAAGGACGGCCGCGAGGCCCTCTCGCGAACCGAAAACGGCCAATTCCTTAATCGACGTGTCAGGGTAGGAGGTCTATCCACCTCCGACTGGTACCCCCAAGAGTCGACAGGGGCCGACCGTCCGGGCACTCCTGCGACGCCCGCCACGACACGTTCGCAGGACCCCCAAACGCTTCCGGAGCAGCAGCAGTGATAAAGAGACAGTCTCGGCCAGGAATGCTGGAAGAACATCTGGTACAGACAGACCGAACAAAAGGTTCCTGGAGCTTTCTCTGGTGGGCCTATATAGCCTATAGGCAAGCCGAGACGCTCCGCCGCTGCTCGAGTGCGCTCTGGCCAGAATCTGTCCAGGTCGGCTCCCGCCGCGGCGACGAAGAGGCCTCGGCCACAGGGCAGAGATTAGGTCGGGCATGTCCGTCTACAGGCGGATCTTCGATGAGAAATGAAAGGAATGTGTCAAAACGGTTTAAAAAAATCGGTAGGAAATGCCAAGGACATCGCCCCGGGACTGTTGTTTGACAACTGTTGGGTAGTCCTCCTGCAGTGCAGAGGGACGTGCTCGACTTCGGGCGAAGACCGTGCGACGACCCGAGCATGCCCCTGGGCGCCCCTCGGAGAGGCGCGGCTGCTGGGGATCGCCCCGAGGCCGAAGGCCGCCGAGAGCCGCCGAGGCCGGCCGGAGCCTCGAGACTCGACTCCAGGAGAGCCCCCCACCCATACAACGCCAGAGGAGGGCTTGGGTGCCCGAGTTATTGAAGGGGCCCTGGGACACGCAAATAAATACACACAAATAACCTGTATTTTCTGTGTCATTATCTTCCCCATAGTCCCCATAGTTTCCCATATTATCTGTGTAACCTGAGTCCCCATAGTTTCCCATATTTTCTGTGTCATTATCTTCCCCCACACTTCCCATATGTTCGCATATTTTCCGGGGGATCGACGATTAAATGTGTCTGTGTGTTTTTTCCTCTCCTGAGTTATCCGAGGTAACTCGGGTCCAGAGTAACTGGGGTTCGGATTCCCGGCAAATGAAGCCGAGTAACCCCTGACCCGAGTTACCCCTGATGATTTGGGGCTCCGGACGCCCGAATTATCCGGGGTAACTCGGGCCCGGGGTAACTCGGGTTCGGATTCCCGAAAAACGAACCCGAGTAAGCCCTGACCCGAGTTACCCCTGATGATTTGTTGGGGCTCTGGACGCCCGAATTATCCGGGGTAACTCGGGCCCGGGGTAACTCGGGTTCGGATTCCCGAAAAACGAACCCGAGTAAGCCCTGACCCGAGTTACCCCTGACGATTTGTTGGGGCTCTGGACGCCCGAATTATCCGGGGTAACTCGGGCCCGGGGTAACTCGGGTTCGGATTCCCGAAAAACGAACCCGAGTAAGCCCTGACCCGAGTTACCCATGACGATTTGTTGGGGTTCTGGACGCCCGAATTATCTGGAGTAACTCGGGCCCGGGGTAACTCGGGTTCGGATTCCCAAAAAACGAACCCGAGTAAGCCCTGACCCGAATTACCCATGATGATTCGGGGCTCTGATACAAAGCCAGAGGAGGGTGCGCCGGGACTGAGGGCGGGGGTGGATTCCCAGAGATCCGATACCATGATTTGTTTCAATACGAGGTCCCTGGAATTCTCGACCCATTCCCCAGGACCAGCTCTTCGTCCCGAGTCGCTCTTTGACGGTCCCGAGGCCCGGCGAGGGCTTATAGAGGTCGACATCGGCGACAAACCTCCCTCTTGATTGTTTCAATGTGCTAGATATCTGGGTTTTCGCCTCCTGTTGAGCAGGGACCGACCGTCCCGGCATTCCTATATAGTCATACCACGGAATGTTATCAGAACCCAAACATGTTCTAAGAACAAAAACAATGTTCTTAGAACATAAACCCGACGTGGCAAAACAAGACCGTCCCAGCCAGAGATGTTCTAAGAACATCTCCTGGGAACCACACAAGGTTCTCAGAACATATTGTTTGGTGGGGCTATATGCGAGCCGGGACGGTTCGCCACTGCTTGACTCCTGTGCAGTCGGAGATCTTCTGATCTGGGTCAATCCAGACCTGGGTCAGCAGGAAACCAAAAACTGCACTGCAGGAACAAAAAAACTGCAGCGCAGGTCCTCGCAGACCCGGGTCAGCCCATAGGCACGGCCGCCTCGCGGCCACGCGCGGCTCCCTGACCCGGGTCAGCCAGAGGGGGTCTTCGCAGGATCCTGCAGGATCCGGCGCCGTGGCTGACCTCCGTTTGAATTGGCCCCGTCTCCTCCCTCCTCCCTCCTCCCTCCTCCCTCTTCCCTCCTCCCTCCTCTCTCCTCCTCCTCCGCCTCCTCCTCCCGCGCACAACCTGAGGCGCCACAGAGTTCCGCCTCCTCCTCCTCCTCCTCCTCCTCCTCCTCCCTTCTCCTCCTCCTCCTCCTCCTCCTCCTCCTCCTCCTCCTCCTCCTCCTCCTCCTCCCTTCTCCTCCTCCTCCTCCTGCACTGACCCCCGCCTGCACTGACCCCCGTCTCGGGGGGCTCCCTTATGCAGTTTCCCCCGCCCGATCGCCGGCGAGGAGCCCAGGTCCCACGGGCTGCAGGCCCGCCGGAACTCCGCCGGCGCCGCGCGCGGCGCCTCCGCGCGCGGCGCGGCCGCCTCCGCGGGGCCGCCGCGCGGCGTGGCCGGCCGCGGCAGGGGCGCGAAGGGGTTCCTCGAGGGGAGGCCCAGGCGTCGCCCTCCTCGTCCCCCTCTCGCCCCCCTCGCCCCCTCCAACCCCCTCGTCTTCGCCCTTCGCCCCGTCCCTCCTCCTCCTCCTCCTCCTCCTCCTCCTCCTCCTCCTCCTTCTCCCTCCTGCTCCTCCTCCCCCTCCTCGCACGTAGCTCGGAATGAAGTCTCACAGTTGCGCATCAACATCTTGCATCTGCTGCGCGAGCTGCGCTCTGGCGGCTCTGGAAAAGGGCGAGAAATGGCCCAACTCTCTGGCAGGGGCAGTCCTGACCGCATTGCACATATAGAATGCAATCACAACTCTCCGCGCTGACAAAATCCTCTCCTCCTCCGTCTGACCACGCGAGAGAGCGAGGCAGCGATCGAGAAAACGCTCTATGATGTCAGGATGCCAGATCTCACGCGCCGCCAACCACAGAGCAAGGCAGGACAGGAAATGGATGACATCGAATCCAACTCAACCGCGAAATTGAATTCGCACTGGCAGTCTCCTTGGCGCATCCTCCGTTCCGTCGTCCACCCGCCCACCACCGGGCTAATCGTCGACATCTCCCATGCAGGGGCATCGCCGACAGGGCAACTGTGAGAGAGGGCCACGAGATGGCAGCAAGAGCGGAGCGAGATGGAGGAGGACTGGCCCACTTGCTCAGGCGCGCCACAATCGTCGGCTGCAGATGCTCCACAAGTATGGAAGCTTCCAACGCCCTGGAAATTGTTCTCGGGATGGGCGCCCGAAGGTTCAAAGCCAGCGCCTCTCCGAAAGCAACTTTCGCCTTCGAAGCGCGGTCATGGAACCTAGGCGCCCGCGGGAAGGAACGGCTAGCCTCAAAGTGCTACTGCACAAGAGGACGGGCCTCCCAGTGTGGGGGGGGTGACCAGCATCCACTGGTCCAGCGCACCATCTCTAGGTGTTCTTTGCGCGCAGCATGGAACTTGTCCCAAATAGGTGACCAATTCGTGACTGTGTTCCGCGCTGCTCTGCCTAGTGCTGCTACCGCATGAATTATCATCGATTGGGGGCGGAATCGAGACCGCGTTCTGAACGCGAAAGACTGTGCCACAGGAACACAGTTGGGAAAAAGATGGAGGACACGATGCAGAGCCCAGAATTCCCAGCGAAGGATGGGCACACGAATGGGAGAGAGCTGGGAGAGATAAGCAAACCTCGAGACAGCACGGGAGTTTTGCAGAGTGGTGGCAATGGAGGGGGCACCCCGAGTAGCAGCAATCTCACGAATCACACCACACCACCCTCGAAACGCACGGCTCCACATCTTGATTATCGTTGCTGCTGGGCTGACCCATGCTCCAATAGACTCGGCATGCCCGACAACAGGAATAAAACACCACCTGGGGGATATGCGCATCCAGGAAAGCTTGCACCTTCGAAATCAGCGTCTCCGAAAGAGCTGGGGAACTTCAGAATCAGGCCTGCCAAGAGACGCGCAGCATAGAACGCTCCAGAGAGGGGGTTGAGTGCGACCAAGGCTCGAACGCACGCGCCCGAGTCAGCCGCGCAAAAACTCAAACCTCCCAGCCAGGGTGCCTGGTGAGTCGTCTTCCCATGTCTCCGGTTATGGGGCCCGCGCCAAGAGCCCACGTGCCGCCGCTGAGCGGGCCACCTCGCATGGCCCCCGACGCGATACAACATAAACAAAATAATATCCCTTGGGGTGAGATAGTGGCCACCGCTCGAACGCGCGCGCGCGTCCGTCGCGAAGCCGCGAAATCCGACTGGAAGGCCAACGTATTCACGAACGCGCCACAATGGCGCACGGATGAGAGAGGAAACCGCGCAGCCAGAGTCAAGCAAGATGACGGTTGGGAGGGGGGGGGGGGGGGGGGGGCAGACGGGAGCGTGCACGCTATGCACGCCGCTGTGTCCAGAAGCGCGATGTGGTCCAGGGGGGTCCGACGCGCGCCAACGCCTCTCTGATCCTGGCGGGCGTCGCGGCTCAGGACTGGCATGGTGCAGCGATTGGCCGCCGAGGCTATGATAATGGCATCTGTGTCCTGTAAATCTAGGGGTCGGGTAGAAGCCGCCTCTCTCAGCGTAAACGAGGAGCCCCCATCGCGATGGTTCTCGGGGGCGAAAACAAGAAGGAGGTCCTTCAAGGGCGCGGGGGGAAGAGGCGCTATAGAGGACTTGCATTCGACCGAAGAGGACAGTGGGAGCCAGGCTGGAGCGCTGCCAAGCAGCATGGGGTGGACCGCAAGGGCCAGGGAATGCGGGGGGAGGCACGGGCAATGACCTGCTCGATACTGGCCCGGGTCGGGGGTCGCCCCTCAGACCAGTCAAATGGCTTCGCACTCTGTGCTGCGCACACTTTAATTCGCTCGAGCGGGGCACGCGTCGGCGCGCAAACAAAGGCCCGGGGAGCTCCCAAGGCCCGCGGCATATCCGAGGAGGAGGCGAGGGGGGCGCCCGAGGGGCCCGCGAGGCCCCGGAGTAGGAGGGGCTTCCCTAGAGGAGCTCAAAGCTGCCCCCTACGCCGCTCGGCCCTCGCATGTGCTCGGAGGCGCTTCTGCTCCAGGAATGGCGCGCTGCGTGCCCCGACCTCCTGCCGGGCCCTCGCGGGGCGAATGCCGGGAGCAGGCGGGCCCCGAGCTCGGGCGCCCTGGCTCGCAGCTCCCCTCATCAATCGCTCGAGCTCCTTCCATTGCGAAATGGCAGGCAGAGTGAGGATCTCCGACTGCGACGCGAGTAGGTCCAATGCCTCAACATCTTCTCGCGACTCACATGCAAATCGGGGCACAGATTGGCCATCCGGTCTGCGCCGCGAGTAGGTCCAATGCCTCAACATCTCCTCGCGACTCACATGCAAATCGGGGCACATGTTGGCCATCCGGTCTGCGCCGGCCACGTGGGGCAAATGCTGCGAAAACGGGAGCGCGAGCAGGGGTGCTCTCTTCATGCAAACGTTCGGGTTCGCACTGCACAGTAACCGTGGGATTTCACCGCATGAGCATCCACTGCGGAGAGGATGTGAATCTGTTGTCCAATGCCGAGAAGCACTGATCTTCAACTATGTAGCGCGCGGGCCGTTAACCATCTAGTTCAACCGACTCCGACAAGGCATCCCGCCACGACGCCCAATACTCGCGCCGCCTCGGCTCAACAATCCAACGTTTGCCGATCTCAGGTGCATGACGGTGCATCGGGGCATCGACCGTAACACTCATGTCACCCATGACAAACGCCGCGACCTTTTCTGGACTGTCCATCGCAACCCTCGCCTCCACCCGAATCCGAGCAGTAATGGAAGATGCCTGAGACTGGGGCAGGCCGACGTTGCGTATGTTGGAGATTACGAGCATGGTCGCGTCGCGCTCGTCTGTGGAAGCAGGCTTGATGGCAGACTCGATCAGCTCGGATGATCTGATCGACTCATTGATGACGCCCTCGTCAAACTGTGACTGCGACATGACTGGTGGCAGCAAGGCAACTCCAACAGCGTTGCGCTGCGGCATAGATGCCACCATCGCGACATGCATTCAACGCTGATGAAGCTGCGTTCTCAAATCAAGAACCGTACCATGCACCTCTTGCAACGCGAGAACTGAATGACGTTTACAAAAGTCCTCGAGCTTGTTGACATTCCGGAGCTGGGCGTTTGGTCTGTGTTGCAGCCGTGTTCTGACATTACACGTTGTTTCCAAGAAAAAATATGCAGCCTCTCCCCTGGATCGGTATCCAGCATCCCAGGCAATGATTCAGTGTCCTCCACCGAATAGAAGCAATCGCTGACAGTCTCTTGCAACGCCTTCAAGTCCACTCCCTTTTTGCGGGTTGCCGAAAAGTTCCGTTAGAGACGGGGGCGACCCTCTTGAGTCTCATTCGTCTGGACGGCGATCGTCGGAACACCATCAAATACGTGATACGTGGCTGCGGGTACGTTTCTTTCGCCATGGCTGCCAAAACTTGACGAGCTGTTTTGTCTGGCCCCACGAACACGCGCGCCCTCCCACCTTCAGAAGATGGTGCCTCACATTCTCGCCAATTGCCTTGCTGACATTTGAGGGCACGACGGGCGGCGCGGACTTTTCTCTGAACAGCACTTGGGTCTTCAGCAATCTGTATGACAAGTCGGCGATTTGGCGAGCTACCCACAAATTTCCAAAGATTACCTTGCATACCAGCCTCTGCGAACCAATCCACGAATTGTGCTTTGACGTCTGCAGCCGTCGCCACAGATGGCACATTGACATTACATATAATTGGGTCGGGCTGGCTATCCCACACGTCCATCGCTGTGTAATCCTTGATGGGGATGGCCCGCTCCTGGAGAAAGAGCTCCTTCCGCATACCTGCCATATGTTTCCGCATATCCGCCTGACTTGCCTACAACACACCCTGGCTTGCCTGCAGTACAGGAGACTCGGTAGCAGTCTGATCATTGATGTTCTCCTGACTCTCGGCCATTTGCTTGACCAACTTGCATGTATGGGAATTGAGTATCCGAAGCGATCGATGTCTTGCAGGCGCCGACCTTCGTGTCCACCGACTCCAGCACTTCCTTGCGCGAAGATGAGGCGGCCGAATCGAGAGGACTTCGGCGCCCGAGTTATCCGGGGTAACTCGGGCCCGGGGTAACTCGGGTTTGGATCCCCGAAAAACGAACCCGAGTCAGCCCTGACCCGAATTACCCCTGATGATTTGGGGCTCTGGGCGCCCGAGTTATCCGGGGTAGCTCGGGCCCGGGGCAACTCGGGTTCGGATTCCCGAAAAACGAACCCGAGTTAGCCCTGACCCGAGATACCCCTGATGATTCGGGTCTCTGAAGGACGTCCACGACCTGGCCTGCAGGGCCGGAGCTTGTGAGAGAACCCATGGGTCGCAACCAGTAGCCAACCACGGATCACCACCGCCAGGAGCACCAACGGCAGCAGCAGGCGAGGCGGAGGCAGACACCTCATCCCCGGGGCAGCGACTGCGGGGGGGTCTGCTCAGGCATGCGCGGCGGGCCTTGGGGCGCCCGCGCGGGAAGGCACTGTGGCCAGAACAGCGAAGGATAGGAATGACGTCTGCACACTGTCGTCGGAGACCGATTCACAGCGAAGAACAATCACCCCGTCACTCGAGAGAGAGAGAGAGAGAGAGCAACCGACCAGGCCCCAAGGCGAATCGCGATGCGGTACAGTACTTTCCCTTCACACGTGTAGCCTTGTGCCAAGATGGCTGCGGACCCCCCTCCTCCTCCTCCTCCGACAGGTTGTTCCTCGTAGCCGCCATCGTCGGGCGTTTCTTTTGTCGCGCTCGGCCTCTCGGGGCCGTTGACTGGCCTCGGGGCCGTCAAGAAACGACGCGGGACGAAAGTCGGGAGCGGCCAAGAGGGGGGTGTCCGAGAGGGGGGGGTGCAAATCATGACCGGCGGCACGTGCGCGGCCCAGCGGGGGGGGCCAGGGACGTCATGAAACAAGAAGGGGCGCCATGAAATCTGGGGAAATATCCTGGCCCCCGCCATGATATCCACCCTCCCTAGTCATCACCCCAATCGCCGCCGCCCCCTGGAGGAGGAATGGGAGGACGAGGGGGAGGGGGAGGAGGAGGAGGAGGAGGAGGAGGGGGAGGAGGAGGAGGAGGAGGATGAGGAGGAGGAGGAGGAGGAGGAGGAGGAGAAGGAGGAGGAGGAGGAGGAGGAGGAGGAGGAGGATGTCATCACCCCCCTCTTTCCCGCCCCCGAGAAAGGTCGAGAGAGGTCGGGGGCCGGCGTCTCGACAACTCAGAACGCTGGATGCCTGGGGGCAGCGCGGGGGTGCCGTGGAGGCCTTGCGGCCGGCGCCGCCGACCCCGATGGCAACGGCGAGGAGGAGGAGGAGGAGGAGGAGGAGGAGGAGGAAGGAGCAGGAGGAGGAGGGGCGGAGCAACGCGAGGGTGAGGAGGAGGAGAGGGAGCGACGAAGGGGACGACGAGGAGGGGAGGGAGGAGCAGGAGGAGGAGGGAGCAGCGGGAGGGGGAGGAGGAGGAGGACGAGGAGGAGGGGGTTGAGGAGGAGAGGGGGGAACGAAAGCAGGGCGGGGATATTTGCCATATTCACGACCCGGGGATCGTCGTCCTGGGACCTCGCTCGTCGTCGTCGGCGTCGTCGCATGTGGTCGCCGTCGTCGGCGTCGTGGCCGTTGGCATCCTCGTCTCGCGAGGGACGAGGTGTTTTTTGGGGCCTCTCCGAGGGGGGAGTCCTGCTGTTCAGGCAGCGTTGTCGCCAGCGTTTGGCCTCCCACACTGGCAGGTCGCTCCGAAGAGGGGAGGAGGAGGAGGAGGAGGAGGAGGAGGAGGAGGAGGAGGAGGAGGAGGAGTAGGCGGAGGAGGAGGAGGACCAATGTAAACCCAAGAGTCATCAACGATGTTGGAATAAACCCTTCCTCCAAGCTCCCTCTTCATAGGCCCCTACAACGATTCATTTCCACTGAAGGAACTGCCTCGTTGGAAGATAACCGTTTGAAGACACTGAAACATGTCAATCAACACATTGTTCTCGGGAATCCAGCGCCACGGAACAACCTGACGGTTGCGTCTTGACGATCCTAAATCGTGAAGGGAAGCCATTCCCGCATATCAGCGCAACTGTTGCACCCTCACAATCCCGAACCCTTCCAAAACACAATTTGTGGTACATTGATCATGGGAACCCGTGCAGCGAAAATTAACAACGAATGTGCGCGGCGCCAAGGCGAGAAACACATGTTCAAAACCATCCGCCCTCAATCCGAGAAACTCTTCCAAATGTTTGAAAAGAATGTGCGAGGCGCTGAGGCGAGAACCACGTTTTGAAAAATACCCGCCATCCATCTGTGAAACGGTTGCCAATGTGTAAGCTTCAGGGACATGCATGGTGAGTAAGTATTAAGCAAAACGCCCGACCACCCCTAAAAACTTGCTTCGGGGTGCGACAGGGAGAAATTATTCATACGGAAAACAGAATGGAGTGCGAGAAGGAGGCGGAGGAGGAGGAGGAGGAGGAAGGAGGAAGGAGAAGCGCCAGGCGGGGATACATGCATATCCACCACCTGGGAGCAGATGTTCTGGGATCTCGGCAGGCGGCGAATACGAATAGATTACTCCCCATGGGGTCCGAACCACGCGCGCGTGCTTAGGTTCTAGCGCAATCCAAGTTAATGTACCGGACTGCATGACGATGGACATCATGCCACATAGAGGACCCAGAACAGCCTATGGGGGGACGCCCGAAGACTCCGAACAGCCTGGGAAAACCATGCTGGGAACCTCTTTGGATGCCTTTGGGGGGCGTTCTTGGAGGGCTCTTGGGGGTTTCTGGGGGGTCTCTTCGGTTTTTGGTGGGAGTCTCCTGGTGGTCTCTTGGGACTTCTTCGGCGCGCCTCGGGGGCCTCCTCGGGGCTCTTGGCGTCTGGACTCGCAATGTCGAACGTCGGCGGCCTGAAACAAAACTGGCTTCGATGGACTTCCCTCGTTGCTTTTCAAGCCGGGCCTCCTACCACACCGTGGGGCAGGATGATGCTGGGCGAGGGCGGCGGAGGGAGGAAGGAGAAAAGCAGAGATGAGGATGTGGGAGGGGGGAGGCGGAAATGCATGAGGCAGGCGGAGAGAGAAAGGCGTGGAGGAGAAGCGAGGAAGAGGGAGGGAAACTGACGCAGCGTGGAGGAGGGAGCAAGGAGAGGAAAAACGAGGATGTGGAACGGGTGACGGAGGAGAACCGATACCAAGAGAGAGAGAGAGAGAAAGAGAGAGAGAAAGAGAGAGCAAAACGAAAGAGAGAGAGAGAGAGAACAATAATACTGGACAACGAGGGGTGGGGGAAACAGAAACGCACTCTTGGGCACGCCAAAGCCTGGGACAGGAGGCAGCGGAGGGGGATGGGGAAGTAAAGGGAATTTCTTGTTTCAAGTTGGCTCTGGAGGTCCCCAGTGGCCCCAAGATCACCCCAGGAGGCCTCCAAGAGTCCCCCGAGAGCTCCTGGGAAGCCCTCGAGAAACCAGCATCATTGCCACAACTAAGATATTTACGATGTTTGTGCTCTCGTATTTCCGCCTCCGACACGCTTCCGAAACTTACGCATGCACCCCAAGAAAGCTCCAAGATGCCCCCAAGATGCGCTCCGCGCGGCTCATGGGAACATCTTGGAGCTTTCATAAGGGCCTCTTGGGAGGTCTTGAGGGCTTCTTGGGGCCCTCTTCGGCGCTGGATGCCTCCGGGGGGCTCCTGGGAGCTCATTGGGGCCTGTTCGGAATATCTTTGTGGCCTCGGTGGTGCCTCTTCGGGCGTCATGAGGGGCCTCGTTTGGCCTCTTGGGCCCACTTCGCGCCGCTCGGGGCGCCTCCTGGGGGCCTCTTGGAGCTCTCTTGGAGGGCTTGCGCAAGCCTCGGAAGCGTGTCGGAGGCGAAGCGCGAGAAAGCAGAGAACCATTGATTTCCCGTTACCTTTTCAGTGATTTTGGCCTCTCCATGGCTCCCCCCCAGAGCTCTTGGGGGACGGACTGTTGAAGCCTCTTACGGCGGTCTTGCTTGCTCTTGGAGGCTTCCAGAGCCGTCGGGAGGCCGGCAAAGACAGCCTTGGAGCACCTTTTTTTCCGCCGGACACGTAGAGCACCGCGCGCGCTTCAAGAAAGAAGAAACCACATCTACACTGATACATTGAAGCGTCATGTGGGGCTGCACGGGTCGAGTTTCGGCTGGATGGGTCGAACTCGCGCTTCATACCTTGGATTGGTCGAAGTCTGCCTGTAGAAGGACATCGGTTCATATAATAAAGCAGACAATCCTCCAGATTGGCGCCAAGTCAATCGTCGCAAATGTTGGACGCAAACA